TTGACCTGACCTTCGCTACGCAACCCAAGGTCAAATTGATGTGATCAGTAAATACATCTTTTTAAACGCCACAACTTTTATCTGAAACATTTTTTTCTAAAATGCTTAGTTTTCGAGATATTTCACCGGTCCGGGACCTTTTGAACACCCTGTATATATAGGGTATGCCAAAATTGTGGAAACGGTCGAATAGCTCGAAAAAAAGCATTTAGGAAAATGTTTCAGGGTTACAGGGTTACAAAAGTTACAGGGTTTCAGAAGGTCTATTTAATGGTCGTATCAGTGTTGACTTTAGATGGCGCCGCCAGTCAGGTGGAAGTCTACTTGCAAAATTATTAGATTCAATAATTTTTTACTCGAATTGTATGAACTTTACCGAAAAAAAACAAGAGATAAAAATTGTTTATTTTCTTTTCATAGAGTTCAGAGAATTTTTTCAAAATTTGTTAATTAATTCTTTAATATAGCATTTTCTTGCATTTTCTTGAAGTATTAAAAAGTTTATAAAAAATTCAGAAAAATTCTTAGAGCTCTATGAGAAGAAAATAGATAACATTTATCTCTCGCTATTTTTCAGTGAAGTTGATAGAATGCGAGTAAAAAATTATTAAAACCAATAATTTTGTAGATATTTCCATAAACATATTAGAAAATATTGGTTGTATAAAAAATGTTTTCAAATAAAGTTATTTATTTCTTTACGTAGAATAAAATTTCGTAATAAAAAAAATACATGTTTCTATTTAAAAAAGTAAAGTTGACTCTGATCTGACCTTGGCGGCGCCCCCCAAGCTCAAAACTGATACGGCCATTAAATAGATTTTCTGAAACCCTATAACTTTTGTCTGAAACATTTTCCTAGAAAATGCTCTTCTTCGAGATATTCGACCGTGTCCACAATTTTGGCACACCCTATATGTGTGTGTGTGTGTGTATATATACTGTATATACTGTATACAGTGTGTCCCATAAGTTCGGCAACGGCAAGAAAACTCGACGGGGGAGCATTTTAGAGAAAAATGTTTCGAATAAAAGTTGTAAGGCTTAAAAAGTCGCATTTAATGACAGTAGTTATTTGACCTAAGATGACGTCGCCAAGGTCAGAACAAGGTCAACTTTGCTTTTTTAGATAGAAATACATATTTTTTATTACGGCATTTTATTCTACATGAAAAAGCAAACAACTTTTGTTTGAAAAAATTTTTTATGCGACCTCTATTTTCTAAGATATTTACGTAAATATCTACAAAATTATTGGTTTCAATAATTTTTTACTTGAATTCTATCAACTTTACCGAAAAATATCAAGAGATAAAAATTATTTATTTTATTCTCATAGAGCTCTGAGAATTTTTTCAGAATTTTATATTAATTTTTTAGTACTGCATTTTCTTGCATTTTCTTGAAGTACTAAAAAGTTAACACAAATTCTGAAAAAATTCTCAGGGCTCTTTGAAAACAAAATAAGCAATTTTTATCTCTTAATATTTTTCGGTAAAGTTATAATAGAATTCAAGTAAAAAATTATTGAAACCAATAATTTTGTAGATATTTACGTAAATATCTTAGAAAATAGAGGTCGTATAAAAAATTTTTTCAAACAAAAGTTGTTTGCTTTTTCACGTAGAATAAAATGCCTTAAAAAAAATATTTATTTCTATCTAAAAAAACAAAGTTGACCTTGTCCTGACCTTGGCGACGTCATCTTAGGTTAAATAACTACTGTCATTAAATGCGAATTTTTAAGCCTTACAACTTTTATTCGAAACATTTTTCTCTAAAATGCTCTCCCGCCGAGTTTTCTTGCCGTTGCTGAACTTATGGGACACACTGTATATGTATATAAGGGTGGGGAAAAAAGATCGGTATCCTTGAGTAACTAAAAAAATATAAATTTTATAGAAAAATGTTTCAGACAGAAGTTGTAGGGTGCAAAAAGATCTATTAAATAATATTACTAGTTTGACCTTGGGTGGGGTCGACAAGGTTAGGTCAAGGTCAACTTTGCTTTTTGAAATAAAAATTTTTTATTCAGGAATTTTATTTTATATAAAGAAGCGAACTTTTGTTTGAAAAAATTTTTTATATGACCTCTGTTTTCTAAAATATTTACGGAAATATCTACAAAATTATTGGTTTCAATAATTTTTTACCCGAATTCTATCAACTTTACCGAAAAATAGCAAGAGATAAAAATTGTTTATTTTTTTCTCTCAGAGGTCTGAAAATTGTTTCAGAATTTGTTTAATTAACTTTTTAGTACAACATTTTCTTGCATTTTCTTGAAATACTAAAAAGTTTATAAAAAATTATTTAAAAATTCTCAGAGTTCTATAAAGAGAAAATAAATAATTTTTACCTCTTGCTATTTTTCGGTAAAGTTGATAGAATTTGAGTGAAAAATTATTGAAACCAATAATTATGTAAATATTTCCGTAAATATCTTAGAAAATAGAGATCGAATAAAAAATATTTTCAAACAAAAGTTGTTCGCTTCCTATTGTGAAATAAAATTCCATAATAAAAAATATATGTTTATGTTTAAAAAAACAAAATTGGCCTTGATCTGACCTTAGCGACCCCACCTAAGGTCAAACTAATAATATCATTTAATAAATCCTTTTGCACCCTATAACTTCTGTCTGAAATATTTTTCTATAAAACTTATATTTTCTGAGTTACTCAGGGATACCACCTTTTTTTCCCACCCTGTATATATATGTACCGTCTATGAAGTTTGGAAGCGATTATATTTTTGTGTGAAATAAAAAATCGTTTGTAAATATCATGAAAGTAACTGTTTATAATAAATGTTTATTGACATTGACGACTATCTTAGTGACCTAAGACAAACACCAACTTTCTGTGCCTATGTCTAATAAATTATTGCTGTTATCTACTTGCAGTTGAACACTTATTTTGTTTTGGTCACGTTTGAATCACAGAAATATGATGTTTACCCTCAATTATTCAACCATTGTATTATATTTAAATATGATCTTAATAATTGTATTCAAACATTTATGGACACAAGTTACATTTTTTGAGCTCAGTGCGCGTTAAAGTTATCAGTCTGTTGATCTAATTGAATTTTATTATTTAAAATGGCAAGAAGAAAGCAGCTTATTATAGCAAAGTGCTGTCTCTACTCTTCGTAATGAAGAATATAGTGAACGGCAAATTGCAAAAAAGCTGCGCATTTCGTGTAAAGGTGTGTATTACACTTTTGCTAGAAAACAAGAAACAAGTAATAATAAAGACAGAAAAAAGGCTAACCGATCCAAAGCGACAACAGGCAAAGAAGATAATTTTATTATAGTGCTATCTAAACAAAACCGACGTTTAACTACTTTACAAATCATCGCTGCATTAAATGAAACGCGCCAAACGCCAGTCTTAACTACGAGTGTTAAAAGACGTCTATTGTCTAATGGCCTAAAAAGATATGTAGCTTCCAAAAAACTAAAATTAACATGTAGACGCAAGCAAAAGAGACTGACTTGGACTAAAACCCACAAAAATTGGACGACAGAACAGTGGCATAAAGTGCTTTGGACTGATGAATCGAAATTTCAAATATTTGGTTCCAATAGAAGTGTTTGTACGTGTTTATATTAAAAAAATGAAAAGGCATTAGAAACGTGTATTGTGCCAACCGTCAAACATAAAGTTAACAGCGTAATAGTTTATAGATGTTTTGGTAACAGTAAACCTGGCAGTTGGAAGTTTTTTGTTGTTTTTGTTTCAATACATATTTATGTATTATTTGGCAAGTTTTAGATTGTAATAAATGTTTACTATATGAATTTACTGTTTTTATTTGAAATTTCTTACTGCTTCCAAACTTATGAACGGTAGTGTATAATACATAATATACATAATAATATACATAGTATATATAACTATTAATTAGTTAAACTAATTTAAGAGTTCTGGCCATATAAATCAAATATTTTTTCGCTGTAGCGGTTAACTACATTTCTCACGGTTACTCTGAGCCTCTTTGTGGGTGCAACAATTCAAGGTTCGTACGCTTTGTACATTTTCCAAACTAATAGACTTTGATTGTAATCAGTGGTATAATTAACGGCCTCAAAGCGTTCGACTTGGAATTTGATGAAACTAAGAAAACGGAAAGAAATCAAAATAAAACGAAATAAAAGAATATCGGAAAATAAAAAGAATAAGGATATCACAGATATGAATAAAAATTTATCACAGATATATTCAAAACGTCAAATATTATTTGTTTACGCTACTATTTGTTTTATTTAGCATATGCATATAGTCTCGCATTTTTATAAAACAACTTTGACTTTGAAATCGTAAAATAATCAAGATCGATGTTGTCCAAAATAAGATTATTTTAAATTTCAATTATGATTATAATATTAATTTATGATAAGATTCTTAAATTATTTATGCCATTGTTAATTTGTAGCTGTATCTCATATTTAATGCTTAATAAAGATGTTTCATCGACTGTTGTCAGATAAAATTGCGGGATATAATTCAAACGATTAATTCATATAATTTTATATACAATAGCGCTAATGCGCAGAAAAATAATTATTGTACTCTTTGTATGCAAGCAGTAGCGCAGTATGGCTCATCCTGGCATACGAGTTCCGCTACCATTATTAGCTCTTATAGCGCTTTCTCTAAGCAAAGAACGACGGCCGACATCGGTGGTTACATCGGTTTAATGCATATTAATATAACGTACAAGTGTAAGTTTTAATAAAAATTGTATTAAATTACTTTTATTATATTAATTTTATTACTGAGTGGCTCGTAACTGATAATACTTTCAAGAAGATGATTCTACGTAAAATAATAAATCGAAGATCTAAAATAAAATTATTTCGTGCTTTGCTATTAAAAAAATTCATCTGAAAATTTTTAAAATTATCAATAATTTATCTTTCTGTTAAGATAAACGACAACGATCATTATGATGCGTCGTTACACTCACTCTTATCTTAAGAATGATTACTAAATTACAAAAAAAAGATATTCAATATTCTATTAAAAAGTAATTGAGAATGATATAGATTAATAGTTACATATAATTAGGAAGTTACATATAATAGATTTAAAAGATCTTTATTTCTTTTTGTAGGTAAAACTTATACTGTTTTTAATAAAATTCCAATGACCATTATTGAAATAAATTTATGAACGTATTATATATCTATATACAGGGTGTTCAATAACTAATTGAGCAACCGCCGTGTACAGGTAGAACAGGTCAAAATAATCGTAAAAGTTATATCCTATTTTGAATTTTGAAAATGTTTGAAAATTTTAGGATATAACTTTTACGATTATTTTGACCTGTTCTACCTGTACACGGCGGTTGCTCAATTAGTTACCGAACACCCTGTATATAGATATATGATACGTTCATAAATTTATTTCAATAATGGTCATTGGAATTTTATTAAAGTATAAGTTTTACCTACAAAAAGAAATAAAGATCTTTTAAATCTATTATATGTAACTTCCTAATTATATGTAACTATTAATCTATATCATTCTCAATTACTTTTTAATAGAATATTGAATATCTTTTTTTTGTAATTTAGTAATCATTCTTAAGATAAGAGTGAGTGTAACGACGCATCATAATGATCGTTGTCGTTTATCTTAACAGAAAGATAAATTATTGATAATTTTAAAAATTTTCAGATGAATTTTTTTTCAATATTTTTCAAAAATTTTCAAAATTTTGAAAATATTGAAAATTTTTTCAATATTTATTCCGTAATTAATTAAAATATATAAATGAATGAGCTCACGAGAAGCGATAGGACAGACTCTGTGTGTAAAAAAAATGGTTTACCTCTTAGCAACGATAAGTAAAGAGCTGATTTCGAGGTGGAGTAACAAGCGATATGTATATGTTATTCCACCTCGAAATCAGCTGTTTACTTATCGTTGCTAAGAAGTAAGCCATTTCTTTTATACACAGAGCCTGTCCTATCGCTTCTCGTGAGCTCATTCGTTTATACATTTTAATTAATTACGGAATAAATATTGAGAAAATTTAAAAATGGTATATAACTTTTATGATTATTTTGACCCGTTTTACCCATACACACCGTTGCTCGATTAGTTACCAGACACCCTGTATATACAAATCTGACGATGATATATATATATCTACCATATACGTATAAATTAGATCAAACAAAAAATATTGCATAGTGCAATAAAAAATTTAATACAACTTTGTTTTTTTTTATTATATTTTATAATTTTTTTATTGTAAGTTCTAGCCTACATGGAACAGATGGTCGTTCACCTTATAATCTTTTTTTTAAACCTTCGGAAAAGAAAAGATAAAAAATATATAAATTATACAATATCATACAATCATATTTAAAGTCATATTAATTTTCTATTTTTAAGACTAATTTTCTTAAAAATAAAATCTCGTGCAAGAAGATTTTATTCTATATTTTTAACTTATTTTATATGGAACCATTATTTTGCTGATGTACTACCAATCAGGGGACATACTGTATACTAATACAATACTACTAAACATTAAAATTGAAAAATAAATAATTTAGACTATTACATCAAATTAAATTAATATTATTATATTATTATTAATATTATAGTATTATATACTATAGAGATTTTAAAATAGTATAAAATAGTATAAAATAGTATAAAAGAGGAATATTAAATTTCCTTTGTAGGTTATAATCGATTTGCTACGTCAAGCAGATTTTATTTTCACAGTATTGCCAGGAAATGGAGAAACTGGCGATGTTGAATATAACGAACGATTTTGGTGGCGGAGTTCCAGCGAAATGACTAGTTCCTTCAAACAAGCTCTTTATCAAGGCGCGCCATTTCCCATTGTGTCCTTGGCAGAATACTTTAGTCTTCACCAAGAAGGTTTTTCTTGGGGCGCCAGATATCGCGAAGCCGGATATTACGCCTCGATAATGTTATGGTAATAGTTTGAAGCATGTTATTATTTATTTAATGAAATTTTTTTAATGCATATTGATAATGAATTAACTAATAAATTAAAAATAATATTGGAACTGGTAGATCTTATCTCTCATAGGACTTCTTTCGCTTCATGGATGATGATGAATTTATTGCTTATGGTAGTACCACGATATGGCGCTTACAGCATGATTTTTACGGGTTTTTGTATGCTACTGACAAATATAATTTACACGGCACTTTTACCATGTGAGCCTTTGATAGCTCATGTAGAGGGATCGATCCTCTCTTTTGATCTCGGTTGGAGTTATTGGTTGGTGTTATTGGCAGGTTTGTAATTGCGTTAAATGTTTAATTATGATACTATACATAGATGTAGAGTAAACGACTTTGATGTTTTTATAGGTGCCGCGTGTTTACTGGCAGGATTGATAATAGCAGCTATTGACCTAATCTTTCCACACCAATTCTCGACTATACTCGAAGTTGACTATGACACACCATATGACAGACATGTTATTATAGAGGAGAGTTTTGACACACGTAATATCAGGCGAAAAGTTTCGAAGACCGAAGATTCGTTAGGCAATCGAATAATGAGGTCCACATTACAATATAATTCATGTCTTCTCAGTTACTAAATTATATTTTTAATATTGTATTACCTTCTATATTATTTTGAAAATATTTCAGCCAATTATCGTCTAAACTTCAAAATAGACATGCTGCTAAAGAAGATTTTGAGGGTGTCATTAATCAAGGGTATACGTCGCATGAGTTATCTGAGTTTCCTCAAGAAATTAGCGATGAAGTTAATAAAAGCAACTGGTCATATCCATTTCCACCAGTTTCGCGTAGAACTATTAATGGCTAATGCACATTATCGGATATCTATAATATTTATTGAAATTAAATATCTATAATATTTATTGAATATCTGTAACTAAATATAAATATATATGTATGTATACAGGGCATTTCCTCTAACTTGAGCACTTAGAGAGAGAGAGAGAGAGAGAGAGAGAGAGAGAGAGAGAGAGAGAGAGAGAGAGAGAGAGAGAGAGAGAGAG